GTTTATCCAGTAGCTGCACCTCAATCACTGGAATGTGGAGTACAAGTGAATAGGACCAAATTCTGCATCTGCTTTGAGCCAAGATTTTTCCTGGATTAGAAGAGTTTGAAGGTTATTCTTCATTTTTAAAAGTTATGTTTAATGTTACACTTCAATTTATGTTTTTTTTCTGTGATGGGAAACAGTGCCAGAAATGTTCAGTTATTCTGGTATTAGGCTTTGAGTTGAGTTTAACTCCTAGGGATCATGGATATCTTGGCAACAGTATGGAAGTGATTGCCTTCTTCCTAGTAATGATAATAATTTATTAGACTGGTTTGCTGCAAACTCTCAGTGTGTCTGCATGAATTCTTCCAAGATATGTCTAGATTTACCAATCTAGCCCCTATACCTGAGATTTCTAGTAGGTCATAAAAATAGATTCAGCAATCACCTGTGGTCCTAAGAGTTTGATATGCCCACCTCTGGATTAATTAATCCCCAGCTTTTTGGTGAATTAGGTTAAAGTGGGAGATTCATGGTTGGCTGAAAGATGAATTACAGTAACAGTAATTTGGGTCTTTCTGCATGGTCCCATTAGCTAACAGCACCTTGGCTGATCTTGAGAAGCTAAGTGGAATTAGATTTGGTTAGTTCTTAGATGGGAGACCAGAGGAAATCTCAGGGTTGTAAGTTAGACTAGAAAGTCTAGAATACATCTTGGGAGAAGACAATCACAAACCACTTCCACACTATTGCCAAGAAGTCCATGAAATAATCAAGACTTGGTTCCAACTAAAGGAATTCTCACCTTTACCTTCCTAGAAGCAGAAATGGTCAATGTGCAGGATTTGTGCCTCTGTTCAGTAAATTAGAGAAGAATTTCCAGTGTTGTTGCTTTAACAGCCTTTGCCAATCCGAGACCTCCAGAAGTTCTGGATTATAGCTCTGTTAACTCCCATCCAGTATGAGCCCAGAGGATGCCAGAGTAGTAATCCAGACTCTCAAAAGGCACCAAATAGAGAAAAGCTGGCAGGCAGTCTTTTCTGTAAATAAAATATAACAATCAGGAAGCAAAAGAAAGAATGGAAGTTTTATTACTTGGATGCTGCTTCAAATATTGCTCCTCAGTTGCAGAAACACTGCTGATTGGGATGCCCCATTGCATTGGAATGCGGGCTTAATAAATATCTATTGCTTCTCTGCATGAGCTGCCATTCAGAACTGTTGAAAATACACGATCCCACTATTGTAGAGGCACCACATTGTCTGTAATAAATATATCATGCAGTACATCAAGTCTGAGTGGCAGCTGTGCTGTAAGAAAATTGAAGAGAGGTTGGAAACAATGTAGGCTGAAGGGAAGAGGCCTGTTTTTCTTCTCTTTATAAGTGTGCACTACTGATCCTCTTCAGCGGCAGATGTGGGCTGGGGTGGTGGGCTGGGAGGAGAAAAAAGGATACTATGATCTTTTTATAGGAAAGTTAATGAAAGCATCATGTCAAATAATATTAAGAAGAAAGACAGGAGCATCGAAAGCTCATGGTGCATGTCGAATGTAAAGCTCAAATTAATCCCTTGGAATAATTTATAGGCACTATGGAGAACCACTAGCCTGTGGCCAATAAAGACAGGCCCTGGAGCTAAAATTATTGGCTCTGATTGAGATTCAGGTCCCTATTCTTCTGTTATGAATTCTTCAAGATTTCATCTGTGGAATGAGTTATTCTTATTAAGAATGTCATGTTGAGTTGAGCCCTCAACTCCTGTGGTTTTGCTGGCAGCATTTATTTATTTAATTAACTTTACATCCTGCCCATTTCACAATCCAAAGCGACTCTAGAAAGCTTACAATACAATTAAAAACATAAATTTAAAAGAACATTAAAATAAGTAAGAGTCACATAAAAAATATAAGCCAAGAGCACGTATGTCACAGAGGTGGTATCTTCTCAATTGTTCCACCAGCCACCTCCAGCCTAAAGTGTCTTCATCCGGGCCCTACATCAATCAATAGAGCCAGGTTTTAAGGCCCTTCTGGAAGGCCAAAACAGTGAGGGTGGATCTCACCTCCGGGAGCAAGCAGTTCCAAAGGGAAGGGGGTTACAGCAGAAAAGGCTCTTCTCCCAGATACCACCAGCTGAAACTTCTTGGCTGATAAGGTCCTCAGCATGCCCCTACTACTGGAGCGAATGGGGTGGGCCAATCCCATTGAGGCAAGATAGTTCCTTAATTAATAATTAGGATTTGCCATTGTGTTTTTCTGGGATGTTTTTTCCACTTCATACTCTAGACTGCATTATTAGAATTCCTGTTACTCTGCCAAACAAGTCCCAATTAAGTCCAACCCTACTTAGCGACATGTCCTCCTCCACACACACCTTCTCTATTTCTACCATTCACACCCTCATTCAACCTAAGGTGTTCATTGTTCCTCAGTCTAACCTAGTGAGTTAGATTCAGTGTTGGTATGGTGATAAAATGTGGAGGGAGACCCCAGCTAGATCACCTTGTCTTCATGGGTGAGAGTTACAAAGTAGGCCAGAAGTTATAGGTTCATCTACTCATGAACAGAAGCTTCTCAAATAGTTAAATATGACATATTGTTTTGCCAGAGATCTTCAGTTCATATTTTTTTACACATGTAAATATCCGTTTGAACATTGGGTTTTAGTGATGACAGGCATTCTCTAATTTAAACAAGCAATCTGTCTTAGTGGGTTAGACCAGGGCTTTTCAACCTTTTCACCCATTGTACCACTTTTAGGATATGGCAACATACGAGTACCACCAGTCGCCTAGCAAGGTGTCAAAAACTTGGTGACCCAAAAAAAAAAAAAAGGAAAAAAAGTGATGAAGTACTGGTAGTCCTCGACTTACAACAGTTCGCTTAGTGACTGTTCGAAGTTACAGTGGCACTGAAAAAACTGCCGAGCAAGATACCTGCCTGCCCACCTGGCGGCGCTCTTCCTCCTGTCCGAGGTTTTCATTGTTGTGAGCATTTCTGTTGAGGATTGGCAGGGGGGGTGGGGTGAGGGNAAAAAAAGGAAAAAAGTGATGAAGTACTGGTAGTCCTCGACTTACAACAGTTCGCTTAGTGACTGTTCGAAGTTACAGTGGCACTGAAAAAACTGCCGAGCAAGATACCTGCCTGCCCACCTGGCGGCGCTCTTCCTCCTGTCCGAGGTTTTCATTGTTGTGAGCATTTCTGTTGAGGATTGGCAGGGGGGGTGGGGTGAGGGGGTGTTTGATTTTTATTCCCCCCCCCCCCCGTCTGCTGGGTGGTTGCAGTAGGTTTTGGTCACTTCACAAGACCTTGGGACACTGTGACTGTCATAAATAGGAATCAGTTGCCAAGCATCTGAATGTAAATCACAAGACCCTGGAGATGCTGCAACATTCCAGCTGATCGGTGCTTCTTCTGGGCTCAGCGGAAGCGCCAGGATCAGCGTGGAGCTTCAGCTGAAGCCTGGTGCTGATCCTGGCGCTTCCGCTGAGCCCATCTCCAGCCATCTCTCGCTCAGGTAGTGCTGCCACCGGTTCAGCTCATTCCCCTCCCCCGCTACCGTTTTTCTAGGATGGTCGCATACCACCTGCCAGGTGCTAATGTACCACAGGTGGTACCCGTACCACTGGTTGAAAAGCCTTGGGTTAGACTATCACTGGAAAAGAAATAGAAATCCAAACAGTAACTAAAGTCAATCAATCAATCAATAAATAAATACCTGAAACTCATCCAATTATCATAGCCCCATATGTCTACATAAGTTCATTTTCAAAAATGCAGAAATTAAATGTCAGAAAGGCATAGCCCCGTGGTGGCGAACCTATGGCACGCGTGCCACAGGTGGCATGCAGAGCCCTCTCTGTGGGCACACATGCCATCACCCCAGTCCTAGGCCTTCAGCTGGTTTTTATAAAACCTTTTTGCTTTAGGCCTCCGCCGCCGTGTGCAAAAAAAAAAAAGGTTCAATCAGTCAATCAATTTCAACTTCTCATGGGGGAAAAAAAGATCTCACAAAGTTGGAATTGATTGATTGAACTTTTTAGTCCCACCCAGTCTGCCGTTATCATCGCAGCCACATCCACCCAATGGGCCACACCCACCCAATGGGCCATGCCCACCCAGCACCCAATGATACATACGTGGGTTTTGGGTTGCAGTTTGGGCACTCGGTCTCTAAAAGGTTCGCCATCACTGGCATAGCCTGAGCCCTGGTTTATGTGCCACTCACAAACTTCTGCAAAAACTTCTGCCTAAGCATAACCTTTAACAGATAAAAAAGGAGAAAAATATAATATGTCTGACCAGAGAGTATTCATACCATTTACATTTAATTTTAATCAAATATAAATGAAAGCAAAGCAGAATTAATTTTAATTTGCCCCATCCATTAGTTTTTGGAGTATGGTCCCTGGGATGGTGCTTAACCAAATGGAGTCCTCATTCTAGGAAAATTCCACACGATCCCGATCATGCAGGGTTCAGCCAAAGGTTAGTTTCTAAAAGCATGTCCCTCAGCAAAAGTTTTAGAAAGCTATGAGAAATTTTTCAGGATGTATAGCTAATCATGCTGAGGTCTTAAAATGATGGATTGTACGTTTTATGACTGTATATTGCCAAAAACAAAAGATAGATCCTAACACCTTTAGAACACTGCAGTTAACAATATGGTAGCAAGTGGAATTTCCCCCCGATTTGATGCTGCAAGGTAAGCTCTTCCAAACTTAAGCAAAACATATGAATCATTGGGATCAACAGTGAGACAATCATTTGTTTTTTTCTCTCAAAGAGATATTCTTTTACACAACATCAAAGAAAATTCATCAAGGTTGGTAACCGTTCATGAGGACATCTATCAATAAAATAGATTCTGAGGTTTTTGCTCATTACTTCCCCCCCCCCCCCGTGATATCCTGCCCATTAAGTAGGATTTTCCTTCAATCTATCCTTACATTTCCTTGTTAACTAACAGTTTTGATATCACAGTATTTTTTTTTCAACTCTCTTGTTTCTCTAGAAGAGATCCTGAAAAGCCAGATTGCCCACTGGTGGTCTCCTGATGGCACAAGATTAGCCTATGCAACTATTAATGACTCCCGGGTCCCATTAATGGAGATCCCTACATTCACCGGAAGCCTTTACCCAAAAGCGGAAGCCTATCACTACCCAAAGGTAGGATAGATTTTACTATTCATCTAACATTCAAGATTTGCTTACTTTTACCTGGAGATGCAATTCAAAGTTAACTGAATACAGTTAGAAAAGCAAGATTATTTCTGAATGGATACTGTAACTATAGTTGTCAGAACTGATTCTGCTTCATCATCACCTGCACCTGTTTGGCAGTTTGCCAAACAGAAGCGGGGGGGGGGGGGTTGGTAAATTTCTATGGAGCGGGGAGGACTAAGAAATGCATAAGACCCTTCTGTCACCTGACGGGAGACAGCCAGCAAGGTCAAGCTCCGAGAACTGTTCAAACCATGCAGAATGTTTTCCCAAAACAAAAGCACTGCATGTAATTGGTGGACAATGAACTGTAGATGGCCCAGGGAAGAAAACCTATGCCAGGTTTTGCTGGAAAACCTCAGAACTAACTTTGCTTCTGCTGTACCTAGATGGATCTTTCAATAAAGTTTTACTCTTGGTGAACTCTTGGTAAACAGTGAGACATGGTGAAGCGGGCACAGCAATGCCTGCCTTTTCAGTGTCACATGAGAAAAGCACATCTTCCTTCCCCTGTCCTGACCCCCTTCTACAGGGGGACGATCGAGAGCCTCCTGTCATACAGCATCACAGTCTAGTTTGGAAGCATTGCTGCTTTAGACAGGAAGGCAATGCAGAGAGTGGTGAGGATGGCTGAAAAGATCATTGGCAGTTCTCTCCCTTCCATCCAGGACATAGCATAGAAGTGTTGCTTGAGCAGGGTCCGTAAGATTGTCTGGGACACAACACATCCTCTCCATGACCTGTTTTCCTTGTTACCTTCTGGGAGGAGGCTTCGTGGTATCCGAAGCAAAACATCCAGATTCAGCCATAGTTTCATTCCATACAGCATTAACCTTGTGAACTCTAAAACTTCCTCTTTCTGTTATGTATTCAAGATGGACAGTGATTAATATTAGTTTTTGTATGTAATGGTGTAGGTCTATACATATGTTGTATATAGCATGTTTATATGTGAGTTGTGTATGTTTACACTTCTGAGAGCAGGCAGCAGAATTTCATTTTTAATGTGTACCAGTGTGCCCACTGTAAAAAATAACGATAAGGGTTATCTTATCTTATCTTATTTTATCTTAAACTCTTTGTATCAGGAGTTCCTTTTTTAGAATCTGCCAACTGGGACAGTTGACAATAGTCTTAAGCACTTCAGGGTCATATTATAGAATCACAATCTTGTGGTTGCTCATTTAGCGACCACAATTGGGATCAGCAACCAAGTCATGAAGCAAAGCAGTTGCTAAGTGTAACTGTGTTCATAGTCTTACTTCAGCTTTCCTTTGCTCTACAGACTTGCACAGGTCATAAACGCAAGAGTTGGTCACAAAGTTAATTTATCATCACCTTCATAACGGCAAAGAGTTATTAAATGAGGTAGTTGCTAAATGAGGACTGAGCTTAGGTCACTTTTTCAGCAAGGCTGTTATCAGAAGTTCCAGAAGCTGTGAATGCTCTAATACTGGAAGTTTTTAAGAAGAGACCAGACGGCCATTTGTCTGAAATGGTATAGAGTTTCTGCCTGAGCAGGGGGTTGGACTATGTGACCTCCAAGGCCCTTACAACTCTATTACTACTACTACTACTACTACTACTACTACTACTACTACTACTAGTACTACTACTACTACTACTACTATTATTATTATTATTATTATTATTATTATTATTATTATTATTATTATTATTATTATTATTTTCAAGATAACTAGATGAGCAATGGGGTTGAGATGGAAAATAGGGCACCTTATGTGAAGCTGTGGCTTATGGACTATTCCCACTCTAAATATATAAAAATCACTCAATGGTAATTTTCTATCCTAACTATTGTTATGTTCTCCTTTTGCCTTCTAGGTCGGGACAGAAAATCCAAGCATTTCCTTACATGCAGTTGTGTTGAATGGGCCTCCTCATGTTCTAGAGATGACTCCTCCTGATGATCCACGAATGAGGTTTGTGTGGTGCTACGTTAAAGTAAGGATGAGACCATGAGATGCAGCTCTAGTATATAATCAGCCACCTTTATCCTTAGATTTTCTAATTCTATTCTTTCTTCATTTCCCTACCCATTTTTGGGTGCTGGTTGTATCTTTTTGGATATCAGATAGGCTTATCTGGTTGTCTTGGCCCAGATTTAAGCCTGCTGAGGACAGGGACATAACACCAGTAGTAAAGATAGAATCTGAGTGACAAACCATGTTCAACGTGTAGTCATTAATGGAACTACATCTTCATGGAAGGAAGGAAGCAATGGGGTACCCCAAGTTTCTGTCTTAAGCCCAGTAGTCTTCAGTATTTTTATGAAAGATTTAGATGAGGAAATAGAAAGGGAACTCATCAAATTTGTGGACAACACCAAGCTGGCAGGAATAGCCAACACCCCAGTAGGTTCAAGATCCAGAAGAATCTTGAGAGACTTGAACACTGGGCCCCATCTAACAAAATGAAATTCAATATAGAGAAAAGTAAGATTTTACACTTAGGCACGAAAAACCAAATGTGCTGGTACAGATTAGGTGAAACCTGGCTCAATAGTAGTAAATGGAAGAGGGATAGTAGACAATCACTTAAATGTGAGCCAGCAGTGTGTGGCAGCAGCCAAAAAAGCCAATGCAATCCTAGGTTGCATTAACAGAGGGATAGAATCAAGATCACATAAAATTCTAGTACCGCTTTATAAAGCTTTACTAAGACCACATCTGGAATACTGCATTCAGTTTTGGACACCACATTATAAAAAAAACATTGAGACTCTGGAATGAGTGCAGAGAAGAGCCTGGAGGCTAAATCATATGAAGAATGGCTGCAGGAAGTGGGTATGTCTAGTTTAATGAAAAGAAGGACTAGGAGTGACATGATAGCATGATATTTGAGAGACTGTCACAAGGAAAAAGGGGGCGAACCTATTTTCAAAGTACCAGAAGGCAAGACAAAAAGTAACGGGAGACTATCAAAGAGATATCCAGCCTAGAACTAAGAAGAAATTTCCTGGCAGTGAGAATAGTTAACCAATGGAATGATTTTCCCTGGAAGTTGTAGGTGCTCCAACACTGGAAGTTTTTAAGAAGAGACTGGACAGCCATTTGTCTGAAATGGTATAGGTTTCCTGCCTGAGCAGGGGGTGGGACTAGATGACCTCCAAGGTCCTTCCAAGTCTGTTATTCTGTTATTCTGAATCAGGTTCACTTCAATGAAACCTATCTCATTCCTTTAATAAAAAACTCTAAGCATATTCTAATATATATTTAAGCCACAGTTAAATGCCTATGAAAGCAATGGAGTCCAATGGACTATTGTCAATAAAATCCAGTCACTCATACTTCAGTATCTCTCAGTCCATTCAGTATTACTTGGGATGTTGTTCCCTTATTGTAGGCCAGTCCGGCTATTTAAGCTAGCCGGACTGGCCTAAGGGGAATTTTAATTTGGTTTTAAATAATTTTAAAAAAGAAACGGCCAACAATGAATACTTCATTTTAATCACATTTTAAATTAGTTTTATTGTATTAGTTATCTGTTTTAACTGGCTGTAAGCCGCCCTGAGTCCGTCAGGAGAAGGGCGGGGTATAAATTCGATAAATA